GTTTTCAGAATACAGATCTTTTACATCTTTGGTTAGGTTTATTCCTAGGTATTTTATGGTTCTTGGTGTAATTGTAAATGGGATCAGTTTCTTTATTTCTCTGTTGCTTCATTATTGGTGTATAAAAATGCAATTGATTTCTGTACATTGAATTTGTACCCTGTGACTTTGCTGAATTCATGTATCAGTTCTAGCAGACTTTTGGTGGAGTCTGTCGGGTTTTCTATGTAGAGTATCATGTCATGTGAAAAGTGAAAGTTTGACTTCTTCTTTGCCAATTTTGATGCCTTTTATTTCATTTTGTTGGCTGATTGCTGATGTTAGGACTTCCAACACTCTGGTAAACAACAGTGATGAGAAAGGATATCCCTGTCCTGTTCCTGATCTCAGGGGCAAAGCTCTCAGTTTTTCCCCATTGAGGATGATATTAGCTGTCAGCTTTTCATAAATGGCTTTTATGATGCTTAAGTATGTTCCTTCTATCCCAACTATCTTGAGGGTTTTTATTAAGAAAGGATGCTGTATTAAGTCATATATGCACATCAACTATCTGTGGCCTTGGAAATACTGTTTGTATGTGTATGTATACTGTATGTATAACACAAACACATACACACTCTCTGAACTGAGTCCTTCCTTTGTTTGTGTATCCCTTACTGTATGTGTAGGGATTTTTACTCAGGGTCACAAGGGACGTTGCATGATTTACTGCCCTAAAAAGCTGAAAGAATAGTGATTTAAAAAGAAAGTTTCATAAAATTCACAAATTTGCCATGTATAAATAATCTCTTCACACAGAATATAACTGTAACTATGAACATGAATTTCCTAAGAATTATAAAATTTTTCTCTCATAACCAAACTGATACATTTTGAAACTTGAGAAGGGGGATGTTTAGTTTAACACCTACCGCCTTTGAGTGTTAAATCCATTAAGATGATTCTCTCGGAGTTCAGACACTAACGATAAAACCATCTGTAAAACAAAATCAGTTGCAGGTTAACTCACACTGCAAAACAGGATTACATCAGTTCTATTTTTCTTGGTGTGAGTGATATTTCCGTTGAGATTCCCTACTCTCCCCTACCCGTCCTCTCCTTGTTTTACTTTGTCAAAATGAAAAGAAAGCAGTGCCAAGTCACATTTACAAATAACTTGGATTTTATTTTTAATGTCTGTTATTCTGCATTCCAATGTAAGCAAATGAACAATAGATCATTAATTTCCTAAGAAAACCAAACCTGTTAAAAAAAAAACCACATTAAAGTTAGCTTATTTTTTCTTGCCTAATTTAGTACTTTATCTTTTAAAAATTCTATTTATGTATAAAGTTTCCAAAAGACCAGAAAAGTTAACAAACATTATTTAGAAGAGTTAAGATCATAAGTTAAAATTTCTTGAATTTGGCTAAAATTCAAGGCAGAAGAAAACATAGCTTTAATAATAAGATGAGAATATATAACACTATTTACAACACTGTCATTTATTGAATTTTTTGCTTTAACATAAATTCCTATCAGGAATTTTAAATACAAAATGCGTCCAACAGTAAAAGGGTGTGTTTACATTGTTTAAGGAAATCTCTTCTTCCAAAAATCTTTGAGAGAATAAATGAGATCTGTTAAGAGAAGAAAGGGGTTGGGTGATTTAGAATAACCTCTCCTGGTTTCCCTCTTTTTTCTCAGAATCTCCCGCCTCAGGTTTCTTCCTTATATGGCTATAAGTCTGCCCAAGGTAAGAAGAGATAAACAGAGAAAAGTTAAACATCTCTCCTGGAAGAGTGAAATATTTCCATTTACCCTTTTTGCTGATGGTACATTAAACAACAAAAATTTCAATACATTAAAAATACTCACATTTTTAAGCAAACCAGGATAGTAATCTGCAGGTGCATATCCAAGACCTTGAATAAAAAGACCAACTTCTTTTGTATCAAATTTGAACGCTGACAGTACATGAGATAGCAAGCCCTTAAAAAAATGAACAGAAAAAGTTATTAAAAGTGAGTGCAAGTGGCATGTGCCTATTACATATAATGCCTAGAACCCATGTCCTATGTAAATGCGGTGATCTCTATGAAAGGAATAACCTTAGTTTGTCCAAATACCCAGTTCATGTGGATTCAAGATATAAAGAAATAAGTTGGCCTTAAAATTATCATATTAAAATAGGTCATTTATTTTACTATTCTATTTTTTCTCTTTATTTTTATAGAGAGCAAGAGAGAGCACACAGGTGGGGGAGAACATCTGGGGGGGTGGGAAAAGAGGGAGAGAAAGAGAGAAGGAGAGGGGGGGATGGAAGGAGAGAGAGAGACAGCCAGAGAGAGGGAGAGCCAGAGAGGGAGAGGGAGAACCTCAAGCAGGCTCCATGCTCAGGGCAGAGCCCAACACGGGCTCAAGATCAAGAGATCAAGAGTTGGATGATCAACCAACTGAGCCACTCAGGTGTCCCCAAAATAGATCATTTTAAACAAATGTTAACAGTGAAGCAAAAATAATGAATGAACAATGCTTACCCATATTAAGAATGTGATCTTTATTGTTTTTAACTCAGCAAAATATTTTTATCAAAGTAGATACAATAATTTAACACATGACAAGGAACACACCACAAATTACTAGGGAAAGGTTATGAATTAATAAATGGTGCTCTGGGAAAAATATTTTAAAAAATTAGATTTGTACCTTATGTCATTCATTAAAATATACCTGAACTTAATGTAAATTAAAGGGATCAATGTAAAAATTAAGTAAGGGGTGCCTGGGTGGTTCAGCTGGTTAAGGGTCTGACTTTGGCTCAGGTCATGATCTCATGGTTTGTGAGTTTGAGCCCCGCGTCAGGCTCTGTGCTGACAGCTCAGAGCCTGGAGCCTGCTTCAGATTCTGTGTCTCCCTCTCTCTCTGCCCCTCCCCTGCTCATGCTGTGTCCCACTGTCTCAAAAATAAATAAACATCAAAAAAAAATTTTTTTAAATGAATGGGGAAGAACTTTGTAAACTGAAAATTAAGAGAGCAAATCATTGGCTGTTCTAAATAGAAATAAAATCTTGTGTCTTCAGAAAATAATATAAGCAAAACCTAGGAAGAATTTTAACAATAACATATAACCATAAGTAGTCAAATTCTTGTGCAAAATATCATATGACAAACACTAAGAACATACATAAAAAATGAGTATGAACAGATAATTCATAAGACAAAATACAAACGTGCAAGAAACACATGGATAAATTCTTCACCCTCATAAACTCAAAGGGTAAATTTAAGCATCAACATACCATTTTTCACTTAATGAATTAAAGATTTTTACAGACCTAAATACCAAATGCTCATCTGGGTTCTCTGAAACAGGTACTCTGTGTGAGCTATTAAAATATAAATGGGTATCCATATATCCTGCTGCTGTGAACCACACTGAGGCACCCCCAGAGAGTGTGAGTGGGTATAACACAGCCTATAACCCACCCCAAGCTTGGACTGCCAGGGCTATGTCTGCCCAGAGGTTTATAACCTGAACAAAGTCGCCTTATAGATTAATAGAGGCCTGCCTTATAGAGATCAACTTGAAAATATATATTAAAGGTTTTTTAAAAGCATTCAGAAGTTTTAATGTACCTGGCACACATTTAAGGAAATAAACCTAAATATGATGATGGGGATTATACTCAAAAGATGTTCACTACAATGTTCTTTCTCAGTGAAAAATGTCTAACAGCAGAGACTAATTTATCATACCCTCATTCAGTGGCTCATTGTAAACCATTAAAATGTTTATAAAGAATTTATGAGAGCATTTTAAATGGTTATATTACAATTTTAAATGAAGAAAGGAAGATGCAAATTTTAATACACAGAAACAATCTCATCAATTTAAAAATAATCCACACCATACATGGAAATGAAAAAATAATGAAGAAACTATCACCAAATATTAATAGTCTCTGTGATGGTGCTATTATGGATATATATTTTTTCTTTCTTTCCTTTTTTTTTTTTTTTTTTTTTTTTTTTTTTTTTTTTTGTTCCTTTAAGAGAGGGAGAGAGTGCAAGCAGGAAGAGGGACAGAGGGATGGAGGGAAACAGAGAGACACAGAGACAGAGACAGAGAGAGAGAGAGAAAGAGAGAGAATATCTCAAGCAGGCTTCACGGTCAGCACAGAGCCCGACACAGGGCTTGATCCCACAACCCTGGGATCACAGTCTGAGCCAAAACCAAGAGTCTGACGCTCAACCGACTGAGCCACCCAGGCGCCCCTATATTTTTCCTTCTTTCTACTTTGGTATATTTTCCAGTTTCCTATGCATGTATGTGTACTATTTTTATACTCAGGAAAAAAAATTTACTTTTTGAAAAAGTGTTATACTTGGAAACATTTTGTTTTTTAGTAGTAGCTTTATTGAGATATAATTCATATACTATTAAGTCTACTCTTTAAAGTATGCAACTCAGTGGTTTTTCGTATATTCACAAGGAAATAAGCCACTTTATTTTTTTAACTCCTGCACTGCATTCTGTAAGTACACATTACAAGATAAAATAAACTTGTGTATGTGCATCTAAATTTGTGAGTCCATACACATATACTTAGATAGGACTAAACCTAGGGAAATAAAATAATATAATAAATTTCACCTACCATCACACTTAATAAGCATTAAAAACACCAAAGGCTGACTCTCCCTCACTGGCTTGTTTGAAGCTACATAGGGCTGTAGGCTCTTTGGCCCCTCAGGACTTTACGATGTCCTACTCTCTCTGCCATGAAGGTTCTTCCAGACCTGTTTAAATGTCACTTCTTGAGGGAATTCTAACAGTTAAGACAACTAAAATTTACTGACTGCTTTCCATATGTGAAATGTTGTGCTAAGTTCTCTAAGTATGGCATCTCAGTTAAAATCCCATAAATCAAATTTTTAATAAAAATTCAATTAAGCAAGTTTCAATTAAGCCACCTATAAACAGGTGGCTACTATCATTATAATTCACACGATTGACCCTTAAAAAGTTAAAGCACAAAGTACTACAGACCTAGTTGGTATAAAAAGTAATGCAGTGTATGTACAATAGAAGGAAACTGATTTCAAGGCTGCAACAGTTAAGAATCAGTTACGACTGTAGATCCTAAGGAAAACCATGCCAAGGCTTTCCCCTATAAATCCAGTGCCTCCCAGAAGCACTCACATCCTGGGCCTTGGACCAGTGAGTGGAGGCTGGCTTCCCAAAAGTGCAGGAGTTACTTTGGTAGCTGAGCCAATGAATGTTAAAAAAAAAAAAAATCTAGGACATTCAATAGATTCAGAGGGGGTGACCAGGAATTGTAACTAATTCCTGAGAAATATTTAAAGTAGCCATAAACAGTTCCCTAGACAGTATTCACAATGCCTGTATTATGCAAGCTGACTATAACACCTAAGGTCTTGGAAAAATGAAAACAACCTAATTGTCAGACCTGTCCTGGCCTAAATTCCCAAAATGATATGGGTATAAACTGATTTTTAAAAAATCAAATGCTATAAATATTAGTTCCCCACCCCACCTCTTGACCTGTTTAAAAAACAAAAACAAACAAACAAAAAACCCCATACTGTAATATTCAGTGTTGGCAAGGATGTGGTGAGAGGGGTACTCTGCTGTTGTTGGGAGCACAAATTTATAAAGCCTTTCTGGGAAGTCACTTGATGTTATGTAGCCAAAACCTTAAAATTCATATCCTTTTACCCAGTTATTTAATTTCCAAGAATATATCTTAATGAATGTTTTAGGTTCATAAGCAGCATTACTTATAACAGTGAAAAACTGCAAGCAACAAAAGTACTCCACACAACACTGAACTGGTTGAATTCATCATGGTTTATCCAACAGTGTGAATTACGTTGTAAAAAGATATTTAATGACAATGCAACAATTTAAAAAGCAAGGTGTCAAACTGTGTTTGATGTGATTTTAATTTTGTATGGAAAAAAATGCTAGGAAGAAATGTAACCAATAGTTAAAAAGGATTTTTTTCTAGTAGTGATTTAAAATTTCTTCTTTAAACTATCTGCATTTCCAAAGTTTCTACTATTACCAAAGCTGGGGTTACTTACTCTATGGCCAAAACTTATAAGGAACCTCCCTATATCCACTCTACATGAGGCAGCTTGAATAATTTTTTTTATCATAACAATGCAAATCTGATTGGTCTTCAGCTTAAGATCCTCTACGGCTTACTTTTTATCATAAAAAATGTTTTGTAGGGGTGCCTGGGTGGCTCAGTCAGCTGAGCAACTGACTTCGGCTCAGGTCATGATCTCATGGTTTGTGGGTTCAAGCCCCGCATCATGCTCTGTGCTGACAGCTCAGAGCCTGGAGCCTGCTTCACATTCTGTGTCTCCCTCTCTCTCTGCCCCTCCCCACTCATGCTCTGTCTCTCTCTGTCTCAGAAATAAATAAACATTTAAAAAAAAATGTTTTGTAAAATAAAATTACATGCGGGGCGCCTGGGTGGCTCAGTCTGTTGAGTGTCCAACTTCGACTCAGGTCATGATCTCACGGTCTGTGGGTTCAAGGCCAGCGTCGGGCTCTGTGCTGACAGCTCAGAGCCTAGGAGCCTGTTTCAGATTCTGTGTCTCCCTCTCTCTCTGCCTCTCCCCCACTCTCACTTTGTCTCACTCTGTCTCTCAAAAATAAACAAATGTAAAAAAAATTTAAAAAATAAAATAAAATTACATGCTTTAACTTATGTCTGTTTTTCCCATAATTCCCTAATACAAACTGCTATGAGGGCCAAGAGAGTTTTATTCCTGGATAAAATAAGCATAGGTCCTGAGAAACAGCATACTGAGGTCTGGCTATGGTTACATAACTTCCAGACACCTCAAACTTTAGACCTTCAAATCTCTTTTTTAAAGTAAACTTAAAAACTGACAAGCAGTTCTCATTGTTAAGAATTTTTTTTACTGCCACCTAGTGGCTACCAGAAAACCAT